CTAATCGCCTTGCAAAATTATCAGCGCACGCCGCTTGCTCGCTGCTCAGTTGCTTTGCAAATGCAACTCAGACACCTTTCCACACGGCAGCACTACAGCAACGCAGGAACACTGTTCATCGTGGAAAACACTGTTCACCATAGAAAACACTGTTCATCCGAGCAACACATCGTGTGCAAGCCACGCTTTATTACCTTTAAGCAAGCTAGTTAGCCACTACCCTTACGACGCGTCGCTATCGCGCCTTCGCGTCTCTTGCCTTTAAAAGGATACGCCAAGCCACCGAGCCATCCCGCTCCGCTGCTCACTTGTTTCTTCCTCCTCAAATCAAGTTTCTCTGTCTTGCTCGAGAAAGCTGCGCTCCGTCGACCTCCCTCCCTAAGCTGCAATCGGCCGAGGTAGCCAACCTGCAAAAATCCCCTCCTTCTCCTTCTCTATTAATTCCTTAACCTGCATGAATGAACCAGCACCCCACCACCAAGCACGTTTAGCCCAAAGCACACTCCAGTCCTAATGTGCTCGTTAAGTCCAAAGACCACTCAAAGTCCATCAATTAAATTAATTCACTCATGATCAAAGACCCACTCCAAGTCTATCACGTGAAATCCAATTCACGTGACCAGCTAGCCAAATGCCACTAATCATTTTCCTTAATCATCCTTTACGGGATTAATTAACGGGCACCTGGCAAAATCAATGTCTCTTTCATCCAAGCTCCGATTTCATTATTTCTTTTCCTAAATTCATCTAAAATCACGCTCTACCCATCCATATCATTTTCTTCATCTCTAGAGCTCATTTGAATTTATTTATTTATTGTGAAATAAATTTTGTTAGATTCCTAAATTCATGATCTATCTGTTAGTGTAATTAGTTCGTATAGTTCAGTGATACATTTAGGGTTACTTTATTATTTCGAAATACGTATTATTATTATGGTTATTTAGAGAATGAATTTTTGTGATGCATTGGTAGAAGTGCTAGCCCTAAAAATATTTTACAGTAGGTTTATTGTATTATTATGTGTTCACTGTAATTTTTGTAGCCTTTGAATAGCTAATTTATTAAGGTAGCTAACATGCCCTAATTTAAAGCATATGAAATCATTTAAGAAATTAGTTGGTATGAGATCAGTAGAGCTAGCTTGTCAGCATGATAAGCGTGTTCTTATTTTAAGAGTTGCGGTTGCATAAATATTAATTATTGCATCATCATCGCTGCATGTATATAGAGAACGAGCCACTAGAGATCGTGACCTTTGGCGAGCAGGAGTACGACGAAGTCATCGAAGAGTACAAGGAGGAGATCCTCGTGTAGGAGGACGTCATGGAGCCATCAGTTGCTGACTTTGCTGACACCCCGCCTGCCCAAGGCAAGCTCCGGTGCATAACCCTTATTTTAAATTATCACTGAATATATATCTATGATGTGCATTCATGTTACATGCATTTTATGGAAAACTACATGCATAAATATATCTTCCTATGAGTCCTACTAGTACAGGTCGAGTAGCTGCTATGCTTAGGATATCGGTAGCGTGAATAACCTGCCGTTACTCACAGGTAGGTGATAAAGATGATCACTCATGATAAAATGGTGGAAAAAAAATAGTGACCGGGCAGGGAATATGGTTTGGGTACTGGTGGGTGTAAGGGGTTGTGTCCTGCGGCCAACAGGGCATGGCTTGGTTACACTTTTTCCCTACCTGTGTCGATGATGGACCGGTCGTTTCATAAGGCATCGTGGGCAAGTCACAGATTTATTGTCCCGAGCGCATACTTGGGTATGGGCGCAGGAAAACTTGTTGCTCTCTTATCGTGGATCCGGCTCTTTCCGTTTGAAGGTGGAGATGGTGGAGGTCCTTACACCACACCGAGTCCGGGACTCAGGAGTGGGAGCTTGGAGTCCAAGTTTAGATGGGGACCTGGACACCCGGGACAGAGAGTGATGGGTTAGTCCTGCTTATGCCTGGGGTATAAGCGGGGCGTGTGTTTTCGAGGCACCCAGCTGGGCACATTGATTCGCGAATCGCCGGGCGATGCGATACGGCTTGTCTCGTGTTTAGCACCGTAGTAAGAAATGAAAGTTGAAAGGAGAAGAAATGAAACTAATTGCTCAACTCTTGCTTGAAAGTAGAATAGGTGCTTATATAGACTGGATAGATAATAACTTAATACGGCTGATAATAATAACATAAATAAGGACTCACTATTAGTATTGCTTTCTGCTAAAAGAAAACCAACAAACCATAAATCTTATCATATTCTTTGGAGTCGGGAAATTATTCCCACTAGTCGGATAAGTCTTGCGAGTATATTGTGTACTCAGGGTTTATTTACCCCTGTTGAAGGTGATGCATGAGAAGTACCCTTGTGTGGAGGATTCTTCTGGTGGGCTTAGACGGATCCTCGTTCTTATCGCTAGATGTTTATTTTAAATTCCGTTGTTTATCATTCCGCACTCTGACATTTGGTGTTGTAATAATGTACTTTTAAGAAACTCTGATGTATGAAATGGACAAGTATTGTAACCCGTTCTCATTATTGGATCCTTGGGAAAAATGTGGATCTTTCGGGTTCTCCCTTGGGGTATGCCCGAGGGATACCGTCCGCTGTAGCTTGTTTTCGGGGTGCTTAGTGTCTGGTGGAAGACGAGCACCTCCGTAAGCGTGTTATTTCGGGGGGTTCTGCCACATCCACCTCTTATATAACCATATGTCTCCAACTCTTATATACAGCTAGCATCCATAGACCTAGATAGGGACCATACAATCGCCATCAATCTAAGTATCATCGTGCCCCAACAACAAGCAGCTTTGACTTCACCTCGCAATCCCATGTCTAGAATATGAGCGCTTCTAGAATATCGATGGTTCGCCTAAAATAATAAGAGACACAAGGGGTCATATGCCTCAAGACAAAGCCGACCATACACTATTGTTTTTTTATGAAAGACCATACACTATTGTTGCCGAGCTTTAACACCGTAGTAGGCAAGCAGCTCCGACTTCCCATGGTAGACTTTGGCTAGCGCCAATAAGCATCCATTACCTGCGGACAACTAGCACCAACACATCTTGAGAGACCATAATGTATCATTGTTATCAGGCTTTGCTATGCCCAAGAATTAATGAAGAAACAACTTTGACTTCACCACTACAAGCTTAGACCAGGAGTGATTGCACGCCGAAAAAAAACAATAGCATGAGGAGGCAAAAACCTCATCCATACCTAGATAGGCCAGGTAATAAGAAGCACAAAGAGATGAACTCATTGGTCGGTAGTTGCACCTCCAATAAAAATGGCTCTAAGAAGGGAGTGACGCTGAGGTGCCACTGTCGCTTGTCTAAGAAACCAGACAACATATTCACTCAGAGAAGTGAAAGGTAGGGAGGGAAGCCACTCGATGATGCCCCAATGGGGAAATGGCACCCTAGGTGTCGTTGTCGTCTGGACTGATAACACGTTGGGCAAGGCTTTCACCCAGATATCCCCAAGTCGCACAAACCTCGTAGCCACCCATGAGTGCACCAACACTGCAAGCGGTAGTTATTATCGCCAAAGCTCATGCTCACCCGACTACCCTCTGAAAGGCATGGTGGTCCAACCATGCAGCAAAGACACCATCTGTCACCCACAAGTGCTCCTTTTTTACTTGTCGCTACCACCTATAGTCTGCCGTCCCTCCGCAAAAACCTCACAAAAGAGGAGGCACCAACAAGGAAAGCACCAATATAGCATAGATCTACTATTCCTATCACCTGATTTGGTTCAAAGACTTGAAAAGACAAAGGTGACTGGCCCCGACTGTGCTGCCACCAAGTGAAGGAGGCATCCTTGAGAAAACAACCATCCCACTGCCATCCTTGCGACTATGGATGCAAGGGGCGGAGCACTCGATCAATAGTGTGGCATGTGAGCGGAGGGGGAAGGGAGGTTGGAGGTGGCAGCGTCGGCATCACCATCTGTAAATCATCTTCCAAGGTTGCATACATAAAACCTTCAAAGATTTAATGCTCTTATTGATGCATAGGTTTTCAACTGTAGTTAGCTCTCACCATCCACACTCCACCATCTTTAAGTCTAATAATCTCATCTCGCATTAGTAAACCCTACACATGGGCCAGAAGTCCACTTGTTAGCCTAATCCCCTATAGATGTCTTACTGTCCCATGTCCACACGGAGCTCCACAAGACCACAAGTGCCACCATTCGACCTCACCTCTTGCATAGTCAAGGCTTTTCCTTGGATGAGTATGATTCCATGGCGGTGAGTGCGTGATGGGCAGCTGATTGTTCGTCTTGTCTCTTCTTGGTGGATACTTTGCCACCGCGGCTTCATCTTTGTTGTCGGCAGCCTTTGTGTTGATGTGTAATTCCTTTCGCAAGTCCAGTCGGTTAGGAACTTAAGATTTGAGTCGGTGGGTCCCTCTCTCACTGTCTTTTTTCTGTTGCGTGGTTCCTCTAGGTTGCTAACCACTATCTCTGTGGTTTTGTAATATGCGCTATGAGGTCTCTCGTAGCCACGTCGTGTTCTATTTTGCAACTCTTCCTCTCTTTTTTAAATGTGAGCAACTCTTCCTCTTAATGAAACATGCGTCAATAGACGTGTTTTTGAAGAAAAAAAATTCCATGGCGGTGGCCATGGAAATAGGACGTTGGTGGATTTTAACCTTCCTCTAAGGCCCGGAATTCTTCATTGGCAATCCTAGCTCTAAGATTCGCAAATCCCTAGCACAATCTCGCTGGAGAAAGCGTATTCTTGCAGAAAATGGAGGGGTGGGGAACTAAGGATTCTCCCTGGAATTGGAGACTAGCTAGTGCCGAGTGTGAAGATTGAGTGAAAGAAAAATTAGGACGTGGAGGAGAGAGAAAACCCAAATTATCATAATATGTTTACAGAGATAGTAAAAACGGTTACTATGAGGCATCAGCAACAGTCATTCTATAGTCCTATGAGCATACTACTGGAATAATGAATTGATATAGAATCAGAAGGAATTAGAACTGCTTCATCACGAACAGCATGTGCGAGAGCAGATCAACCTCGTACGGGCAGAACTCGGGCTCCGGGTTCAGTTCCCATTCCCTGGCGTCGAGCTTGCTCACCTCCATATATGGTGTCCAGACGGAACAGCAAAGGGCTCATCGTCCCATCGCGCGGCCGCAAAAAGAGCGTGCCGCTCCCCTCGCAGAACCACGAGAGCTCCGCGCCGCGCAACCATCGGCTGCTAAAATCCATCGGCCGTGGAATGGCCGCCTCCTGGATACGATGCCACAATTTCCACTCCCTGGCGGTGGCGGATCCGGCGCCGCTAATTTTTCACAGGCCCACACCTCAATCTCGCCAGCTTCTATGCCGATCAAGCCCAGCAATGCCTGTGACTGTGACCCCGCACCCGCAGCGTCGGCCGGCGACGGCAGCACCGCGAGGCACTTCTCCGGGTGCCCCCCGGGCGGGAGATCGGCAATCCAAGCCTCGCGAGCTACCCCTCCGCGCCACCGCCACACGAGGATGCGGTCCCCTAGTCCCGAGGTGCACGGCCAGTAGACGGTGTCACCTAGGACGACGGGCCTGGGACGCCCTGTGTTCCCGTAGCTGCAGCCGAACTTGAACCGCGACTCGCGGAAGCTGCTGACGATGGGGCAGGCCAACTCAGGTCCCCACCCGCCGCCCTCCTCGGGCTCAGAGTCGGAGGAGAAGATCTGCACGTAGAGCGTCGTTGAAGCGTTGTTGTTCGACAGCTCCGCGACGAGCAGCTTGAACGATGACGGGGCGACGATCGGGTCCTCGTCGAGGAGGGCGTGGGACATGTCTTGCACGTCGTGCGGCGGGAGCACGCGCCGCTCCCCCGTAGTCGGGTTGCACACGGACAGCTCGACGGGTTCACTACCGAAATCACAAATCGCGAATCCAGACTAGCTGCTGCGAGTGTCAAGAACTTTTGATGGAGTATTTTAGCTCGGGCGGAATACGGGCACTTCCACTGAAATGATGTCTTTGCCAACATGCATCTCCCAAACTCGAACCATTTGCGACAAGAACTTTACCGAGTATTTTATATCGGCACTCGGCAAAGGATGTCTTTGCCGAAACTGCTCGACAACGACACTCGGCAAAGCTGGTCTTTGCTGCTCGGTTTACCGAAAGACGTGCTCTCTCTTTGCCACTCGACAAAGACTTTCTTTTGCCGAGTGTCACCGCCTCACACTCGCAAATTTTACCTCATTGTTAAACCAGCCTGCGGCCGTCAGCTCTTTGCCGAATGTACAAATGCAACACTCGGGAAAGAGGCTCTTTGCCGAGTGTCAAAAGCAGACACTCGGCAAAGTATATTTTTTTTTGACTTCTGCACTTCAAAAAATTTCACCTCTCCACATACCACATGTGGTACTCCATGCTTAAGTTTGGTGTATTTTTGAATTTATTTGCTATATTTAACTAATTAATTGCATTTCAAGCAATTTTTTGAATTAAGTTAAATTTGAACCGCAAGTGATTCAAATATTTGGAAAAAATGAGTATAAAATTGATATTCATGTTATTCAACCCAGTTTGAGGCCTTACCTATAAGATTATAAGGGGTTTCGAACATCTTATTTCGGAAACACGACCCCGAGCGTGTGGTTGAATGGTTTTTAAATTCTATAAAAAGCAAAGGAAGTCCGAAAGAAGTTTCATGATTGTTGAGAATGATCTGGTAAGATTTGGAGTGAAAGTAACGGTCAAGTTGTGGTTTGACTCCGAAACTTTTTGTATAGCCAATAGACATCAAAGATCCAGTCATGTTAAATTTTAGTGATTTTTTGGATCCATTTAATAATTATTAATTTTTAATTGCAATTATATAAATGGAATTTGAGCTATAACTACATGAAATCATGGTCTATTTTTCGCTGAAGCATCAAATTTGCATTCTTGAGTGAATTTGACGAGGTATTTTCAAAGTGTATTGGAACAAATTTGGGAAAAACGGTTAAAAGGGAAAGGAAATAGAAAAGTTTTTTAAAAAAAATATCTTTGCCGAGTGTCCTAGGGTTATCACTCGGCAAAGTATAATCTTTGCCGAGTGCCTTATCGGCTTGACTTTTGGGAAAGATTTTTAATGTTTTTTTTAAATCCCGGATTTGCCGAGTGTCGGATCGTGGACACTCGGCAAAGGCCTGACCAAAGACTTAACTGGCACGGCCGACACTCACTCACGCACGCACGCACACTCCGTCCCCCCTCGCCCCCTCACCGCCCTTGCCAGCCCCCCCCCGCTCTGCCCCGTCATCATCCTCGCCTCACCGCGCGCTTTCTCCCGCTGCCCTTCTCGCCCCCCCCATGCTCACAGGCCCAGGCGCGCGCCTGGCCCCCGTCATGGGGCCCCGGCCGCCTCCACCGCAAAGTTTGGCCCGCCAGCCACCCACCACCGCCCAAGACGCCACCCCGCCCAGCGCCACGCGCTGCTGCCAGCACCGGCCCGCTCCCACGCCGCCGCCGCCTCCGCCCGCGGCCCGCCGCCTAGACTCATCGCCCGCACCAGTGCCCGTCCCACAGCAGCGCCGACGATGCAGCAGAGCTCCAGCTGCTGGCCCCGGCGTCCCAACCAGCGCCCTCCCCACAGCCCGACGAGCGCAGGCTTCGGCGCCCGGCCTCCTGCACAGTACCTAGGTAATCTCTTGTTCATCTCTTTCATGTTATTTGGAATTGATGACTAGTGGACGATGATCTCCAAAGAGCATCTGATAACAAGGTTTATTGTAAAATTCTGATAGCCAGGGACGCTATATATATAGTGCACGATGATCTCCAGAGAGCATCTGATAACTAGTAGTGGCTATTTCCTTGACAATGTTTATTGTAAAATTATTTTAGCACTGTCACCCAATTGGACAGTCAGATCACAAAATAGCTTCAAGTTCAGATCCTCACAACTCATCATGGATTTCTACTTTGTCTAAGGAGATTCCATTAGAGCTCCCTGGAATTCTGTGTCGGATGAGGATGGAGTGTTTGTGCCTGAAACAGGGACCAAATCCTTGCAAAACTAACTGCTGTTATTCTATCAGATAAGAAGAGCAGCATGCCTAAGGTTATCAGATTATGTTGTTGCCTAAATACCCTGAGATATACTGTAGCTAACACACATTGCAGAACAAATACTCCCTCCATTATATTCCAAATTATATAATGTTTTGACTTTTATGTAGTGTGCTTTTACTATGTATTAAGATATAGTGTATATCTATGTGCATAACAAAATTATATCTATGTGCATAACAAAATTAGCTATGTATTTAGAAAGGCTAAAACGCCTTGTAATTTGGAATAGAGGAAGTAGTTATGATTGTTCTATGCTAAAATGATTTCTTTTTTAGTATACAAATAAAACTACTGAAACTTCAGGGATTGTATATTTCCACCTCTGTATATTTCAAAGTTCAAACAGACTGATAACTATGCAGAAAAGATACATATTTACAGCAAGTAGTATCCATGTCCGGCTGCCAAAAGCTAACAGATTGTAGAATAGATTCTTCAGGCACCTTCTTGTTGTTATGATACCTAAAGTCTATATGTAATTTAGGCATACGGAAGAACTGAAACATCCAGCACAACTCCTTGGCCACGCCTTCAGTGACCGATTCATCAAAAAATATTGTCGCCATTGTCAGTGATATCGCCCAACCAAATAGCTGCTCCACAAAACCAATATCATGTTCAGATCGTCCAAATCCTTGGATTTCTATTTCTTGTAGGGAAACCAACACAAGCTCCTCAGTTTGCCAGTTTGACTGCTGCCCACAACTACAGCCTGATGGGCATGGTTCCTGACACAACAACAAAGCATATTAGCATGATGAGATCAACTAAAAATTTGGATGCCATGAAAGTAGAGGAATCTAAAAACAAATTATGAGACAACCAAATTACTTCAAGATCATTAGCCACGCTGAATCAATCCATGTCATCATTACATACAATCTAAAGAAACTTAATTGACCAAGCTGAGCATTTTACGATATCTGTGACCTACTAGCACCCACCACACAAGTTGTACATCTGGGGCTATATTTCTCTTCTTTTTAACTAACTAGAGAGTCTTAGATAAGCAAAGCACATCTTTACCTTCAATTCGGGAAAACTTGATAATTCCAGGACCAGCTTTCTTATAGCAGTACAAATCCTGAGAACATGTAATGAGCTATCCCCAAAGCAATGTCCACTTGACATTACAATGAGGTGCAGAGTTGTAAGGTCCGGGAGCACGGTTATTCCTTCCATCAAATATTCATAGTCGTCATCTATGTCCTGTGTGTCCATATTAATTAATCAGTCTAAAAAGCGGAATCATATATATTTCAAGAAACAACTTATAATACCAAGAAATATTTCTAAAAGAATACATATACCACACCCTAGAACTATTACTAATTTTTTACACCACAGGGTTAGTGCAGGCTCAATGATGGGTGCTTAGATTGAACGTTGTATCGGTGACAAAAAGCATTGGCGGCTCAATAATGCTATATAGTGGACAATTCCAGAAATAGTTTTTTTAACATATGGTAATTATTTCTGGAATATTATTTTACAAAACAGTAGCTCACTTGCTTCCACAAAACCCTAACCATCTCAAGGCATATAAACTGTACTGTAATTCTCTAACTAAAACATGCATGCTTTGGGTCTCATCTTGCATTGGAAAGTAATATGATAGCAGCAGGGACTGCAGGAAAGCGCTAAAGGTGAGGATTTTTGGGTTGATTCTCAAATACCACCATCAAATATTCCCCCCTAGCTAGGATTCTGCTAGCTCTAGGTGTATTGTATATTTGTATCACATGCATCCAAAAATTCTTTCGAATCTGTGCACCAGAATGCTATATCATGCTATCATGTTTGGCATATTATATATATAATAATAAATTAACACAATTCCAACAAATAAACGATTAATTAGTGAACTCACCAGCACAGCCAGGATCAATGTCAAAAATAATATATATATATTATTACATGATTCATGGTTGGATGGACTTATTAAACTGCACTTGATGCCTTAACGTAATTCATATGAAACTGTGTGATTATATATGTAGTAGGAGGAGGAGCAGTAGGACTGGTGGTGGTGGTGGTAGCAGTAGTTGTGATTATATATGCTTATATGAATGTGAATCCAATGCATATGCATATGTGGTTATTGGCCATCGTGCCGTACGTTTTTTTTTTCAGGTTTTAGAAACCTCACCGTGTAGGGGAGGTTCTGTCAAAATTTTCAATTAAGCCCGTATGTTCTTTTTTTGCAGAGAAGAGCCCGTTGGAGCCGAGCCGGAGTACCTCGGCGACCCCGATCGTATTCCTCGCCACTGCGGGTCTGCCTGCACCGCGTTGCCTCGCCACTGCACCGACCTGCCACGGCCCCGCTAGCCTGACTCCACCGCCACCCAAGGTATAACCCATCTTTCCGTATCATGTTCGTAGATCACATAACCAAGTTAGGTGTCTCCCGTTCGAAAGGGATATGGTTGGAAGTATGCAGATCTTTGCATATCTATAACCGTATGTGTTTTGAATTGTCCACATTTTTTGGACAGCCCGAGGATGCGTAGATGGGGTTAGTTTTCATGGTCTACTCCAATCCGAGACAGAGTTTCGGCATCATCTCCCTGTTTTTCTCCGGATACACAATCTCCCTGCCAGGACGTGTATTTGGAGAAGAGCGGGGAGGTGCTGCCAAAATTCTGTCTCGAATAGGAGTAGAGCATGGAAACTAACCTCATCTACGTATCCTCGGATGGGATTAGGACCTATCTTCACCTATTAG